GTTTGTTTTTGGTTTTGTTTTGTTTTTTTCAAGAAGGTACAAGACCAAATCCTGAGGGCCCTCTCTCTGTCTCTGATCCCATGACAGTTTGCATGACACTCACAGTCTGTCCCAGAAGTGTCCCAGGGTTTCCCCTTCAGATTTTAAAACAGCAGAAGGCAAGACAGCGTGACCTCTCTCTGGTCCTGGAGCTGCAGCTGTAATCAGAAGCTCCGTGATGAAGTTCAGCTGGAAGAGCAAAGGAGAGGAGAAAAAAAACAAAACACAAACCAAAACAAGGGAATGCCATCAAAGTCTTTCAAAGTCAGAAATTCATTTTACCTTTGTCAATGGCTGTGGTTTTCAAGGATAAAGATCAAAGTGCTGACCGTGGGCAGAGCTATGACAAAGCTGAGATCAGTCTGCTGAACCCTAACATTAGTGCTACAGTTAGACTGTGTCTAGACGAGCTCAGGTTTGGCAAACACGGCAGCGCAGCGCTTGCATCAGAGCTGCAGCAAGGAGAGTGAGGCATCCAAATTGCAGAGGGGAGGGAGCAATCACACTCCAGCAGAGTCGAACTGGAAAAAGGAAGTTTAGGAAAAAACTCCAACCCCATAAAAAACCCACTCCCAGAAAGACAGCTGAGAAGATCCATCCCTCCCTCCTCACTCCTGTTTTTTGTATTGTGATTAATGTACACAGAAAGCTGAGATAACTGAGGGAAAGTAATGCCAAATTCTTATCAATACAGATGAGCTGGCTTCATATTCCTCCAGCCCTTTCATGTGGAAATGAGACTGCATTTGATGAGGCCAAGCCCATGTTTGAAATAGCTCAGCTGGGATGTGCTCCTGGTAAGGGTTCAGGTGCCTGTGCAGAAAATCCCTCCAGCTGGACCCTTCCTGAGGGCAGAGAGAGCCTTCAGCTTCCTGCCATTCCCTCTTTCTCCTGGGGAGGACAGAAAATCGATCCCCACTGAGCCTGAGCTGTCCCTGTGCAAGAGGCAAGGTGGGTTTGCTGAGGGGCCCTGGCCTGCAGGCTCCCCACCTTTCCCTACATTCTCTTGCATGGACCATTAAAAATAACACCCCAGAGTGGAGGGATGGATAAAGGAGCAGGAGGTGGATAAACAGCCCCCAGCACCAGAGCATCTCAAAGGTCCCCATAGCCTTTACACCAACCCTTTCTCAGCACAGCTCTGCTGGCCTCCTCTAGGCATGGCAAGTTCAGAAGAAGCTGCAGCCTGACGTGGGCAAACACGATCCCCGGTGGATGAGGACAAGGGGTTTCAGCTGTGCCTCACACAGGGGAATGAGCTGCCCATTGCCAGGAACATGGTGGAGGACCTGCTGGGAACAATTAGCCAAGGCACTGGTCATACACTATTCTCAGCTCTGCTCCTGACTCAGCTGCATGGCCTCAGGGGACTTACTTGGTATTTGTGCCTCAGTTTACCCTTGGTAATGGCAGAGATAGTAACAGTCTCATGGAGTGGTGTGAGAATTAGTTAATTAATATTTGGAAAGCACTTTATGCCTTGACGTCTTTGTGCCTTTGTTTACCCATCAGGAATATCAGAGATAATAACTGTCTCATGCAGAGGTACAAGGATTAATTAATTATTTGAAAAGCAGTTTGAGATCCTTGGATGAAAGATCCTGTGTGAGTAAAACGTATCATTAAAAACATCTCCCGGTCCTCTGTGAAGTTAAAATAAAGCTGGAACTTCTTAGTCATTCAAATAATTAAACCATAAATACTGTTTATTTTAATCTTCCCTTAAAAAAAATAATCTAATCTAGGCAGTGATACCAGCCAAAGAATGAAAAATGTTTCAAATTCAGGAGACCTATCAATTTGAAGAGCTTGATTCTTAATTGCTTTTTGATGTCTATCAATGGAAAGTGAGAGCAATTGTATTTACAAATGCCTGCAACAGCACGGGGCAGCTGGGAGGACGCCCACAGCTCCTCTGCAGGGTTTCATCCTGCACATTCTCATGGACACAGCAGCTGTAGTTGCACAGAGTTTCTCACACTACCCTATTTGACTTGCTAACCAACAGGGAGGTGCAGAATAGCCCATCTTACAGGCATGCCAAGGCTTCCCCCAAAAACATGGGTGCACTGAAGCAGGGCTGAAAGAGCAACTTCTCCTGCCAGGAATGGTGGCAAAGACACCAGTCACCAGCAGAAGAACTGATGGAGTCTCCATTTAAGATCATCTTTTGGTCAGAGGGGTACATGCCCAATATGGGAAGCCCCTCTTCTCTGGGGACTTAGTGTATATTGGGGCATAAAATATATGCAACTGGCCCATTTATCTTTCTTTCTCTCTAGTTCTTGTTTTACAAAGTCCACATGTGAAACAGAGGCTTGCACAATCAAGGTCACTGTTTTTAACCGAAAGGGGCCTCTTTTAAGGTGTGACTACTGCTGGGAATCTGCTGTGCTGGTCACCCCAACCACCACCTTCCCTCTTGTCTCAGCTTTTTCATGGCCTCCCACTCCTCTCTGGCCATGGAAGGTTTTGCAGCCATTGCCAAGCAGCCTGTGTGGGAACGTGGGGCGGAAGAAAGGATGTAATTGCCTTCCTGAGCTGCAGCGCTTTCATTAGTTAAATGTCCTCCCGTCCTTCCACGCTAGTCCAGCTTCTGCTGAATTTTCATCAGGCCAGAAGAGGCCTTTAGGGCCATTTGAAAGTAACCATCAGATAAAAGCGACTGTCACCCTCCTTATGCGGCAGGCAAGGAAGCAGACACGGGGAGACTGGTCACACAGGAAGAAGAGGAGGGACCCAGTGACTCAGAGCTTTGATTCCCAGCTGGGAGCTTGAGACGCCACTCCAGCCAAGCATAAAAGCACATGGTTATCTCTCCACTCATGAATAATCCCATTGATTTAAGTCATAAACTTCAGCATCATGGCCTTAACCATCTGTCTATGCTCACCAAGAGCAGATAAATGGGAGTACAGGTCTGGGTAGACACTGCTCTGGACATAAAGAACAGCAGCAAATGGTAGTGTCCCTGGTGCAGGTTTCTGTCTAAGAGAAGCAGCAATGGGGATGGAAAGGTGGCTTGGTCCTCGAGAGGAGGAGTCCCTCAGGGATGATGGAGCTCCTGTGCCCCACCCTAGGAGCTCTCTCCATGCTGGATGTGAGTGGACTCAGCCACCTCCCTCAGGACCATCCCACTGGATGCAGTGTGGGGCTGCTGAGCTGTCTGCAGAGACACTGACCTTTGTCGGTGATTCCCAGAGCACGATGCCCAGCTGATGTGATCCCAGTCCCCAGGCTTTGCTGAAGGTGATCCAGGTTCCCCTGGGAGGTGAAAGGGACATTTGCACATATGATGACATGTGATGATATATATGATATCTCTCCCAACTGGGATTTACTGAGTTCTTTATCCCTTTGCTCACACAGAATTGGGAAATGACCTGGTTGTTAAACAGAGACTTCCTTCAAAACTCTGAAACCCAGTTTAGGGTACAGGTCACTCTTCCTGTCTGCTTCTGACCTGACCTCTCTAGCACAGGGCTAAGAGATCAAGAGAAATGAGAAGGAAACCACATTCCTGTTACTGATGGGAGAGCAAGCAAAGCATCTAAATTATACGATGGTCGATCCCTTCTATTATGCAAAGTAATAGTTCCACAGACACAGTAGAGGGGACCACAGATACCAGAGCACTTGGGAAGCATAGCTGACTAAAAAGTGTGTCTGGTGACATGGGATTTTATCTGAATGCCTGTTGTTCAACCCTTCCCCAGAATGAAAGGGTATCAGCTCAGGGAGGGAGCAGAAAGGCCGTGAACCCAATTGGCATTGGCAATTCTGTTACCAATTTATAAGGGCAAGGTTTAGGTTTTGCAGACTGGGACAGGAGGTGGTGGCTTAAATAAAAATATACAATAAACCTGGGTAAAACCCATTTTACTTCTCACTTCTGAGAAGTTTCAGTTTGGTCCTTTGCAGGTGTGGCCGCTGCCTCGTGATCTCTCAGCTGGAGATGTGAGAGCTAAAGGGACCCAATCCCCATTGCCTAATATGTCTAAATATTCTTCCTGGTCTGCATCCATCTGCTGCCTCATGTCATTCTGGCATGTCGACATGGAAACTGGAGGTGTGAAAGGAAAGCTACTGCTGCTGCCCTGAACTCAGGACAGTTCAGATACGGCTGCAATGCTGCCCCGGCACTGTGTGAGCCTCAGCTGAAGGACTGCTGGACCCCATTTCTGGGGCTGGAGCTTCTAGGGGGGCTCCAGGATATAAAAATAGGCCAGGCTTCCCTCATGGCTTCTTGATAACTGAAATTCAACTGATTAAGTCTCGGATTAGGAAGGCTGGCCCTTGTTCTCACTCAGAGCTGTGGGTATCAGCTCCCTGTGGCAGAAGAAGTTCAGTGGCCAATACTGAATCCAATTCATGCACTTGGCTGCAGATTCCCCTAGCAAAGATGCTGGAGCTTATAATTTGTATTTAATTTTCCTCTCTTTCATTTTTCCCTAGGAATGCAAGGGGGAACAAAACCAGGAAAGGACAGAAGGGATGGAGGAGCCCTGCTCCAGCCTGGCACACTGCGTGGGGACTTGGCAGTCTGACTCCTGCTCCAAGCCCTTCCTTCAGACTGCTGCCTGACCTCAGGTAAACTGCACCATTGCTCAAATACAGTTACATACACCATCCTTTCTACAGCCTTTACAGACCAGCAGGTGAGAGGCATCCCCCTGGAGCCAGGTGCTTGTAATACTGCTTACCACGGTATTTACTCCCAAATTCAAGGCATGGAAAAACCAAGGGTTTCATAACAAAGTGTGGAAAACCCCCAATAAATATTGGCTCCAACTCTCCCTTTCAGGCCACGCCCCAAGAGCAAGTGAGACTATAATGGACAAATCCTCCTCTGGCAGCGGGCCAGAGCTGGAGCACCCTTTGCCCAGTCCCAACCTACTTCCCACCATGCAGAATCACTGTGGGAACAGGCTGGCACGGCCCAGACAATCCATGGCACTGTACCTTTGCTCATGACAGCAACACCAGCCAACTCGCAGCGTCTCGGTGTCTGGCCAAAGCGGATGGCAGACGGCTGTCTGAAGCTGGGACCTGGGAAAATGGGGATAACATCAGGAAAAAACAAAACATCTTACGTACCTACTGCTCCCATCTCGTCCCGCTCTGGGGAGATGCCTCCTTGCCGTGCACTGAGTCAGCTCCTGCTCTTGTGGTCCCTCAGCTCTCTGTGGAGCTGCTCTCTGCTCACAGGCTTGGGGCTGTTGGCACATCCCGTCCTATCTGCTCCATGTGAGGACGTTGCAGCCAGCACTGGGAACCAGTGGCTTGGCTATTTCCACCCTGTTTCAGCTGGTCTGGCCCACCTGTGTGTGTGAACACACCAGCAGCCTCCCCCGTGGGTCAGCAGGTCAGGATGGAGCAACAGCTCCTACCTGGGAGTATTTGCTGGCTCCTTTGAAAAATCTCCCCAGATTTCCATTGGATCTTAGGTTACCACAAGGTATCTGCCTGGATCTGGGCTTTGATTCCCTACTCTGCAGCTTTATCCCAGGCTGGCTGGGGCAGTGCCTTTCCCTCAGAGACCACAACTGACAGCTCTCCTCTAGGGGAGAGAGAGGAATGGGGCAGTGGTTGTGTTTTGAGGGTGGGGAGAGGGAAAGGCTGTTTGAGGCCACTCTTTGCATGGGGCAGCTGCAGGAGTGGTGAGGATGATCATTTCTCCTTCCCTGGGTGGCTAACTCGATCATCTGGGGGACCACACTGCTGGCTCTTCCACCGCCTCCCTCCCCAGGTCCCACATTCCTGGCTCTCCCCACTCTGCTGTGCCACCACAGCTCTCCATCAACCCCTCTACTGCTTCCCAGGCCAGTCCTGCCCCTTCAGCTGTGGTGTGGCAGAATTCAGTTTTGTCCACGTGGATGAGAAGTGTTGGCCCTTCACACAAATACCATCCTGCCTACAGGGAGCAGGGTGGGAGCTGGGCCACGCTGGGGCCTCTCATTTCCTGCAAAGGCGTGTTTGTGAGGCACCCGTGGGGAGCACCAGGCAGCTGAGTGACAGGGAAGGGCAGGGCCTGCTCCCAGTGAGGGGAAAATGGGTTAGATAAACTTACCCAGATTTCCAGCAGCTGTGGGGCTGGCCAGGGGACACTGAGGTAGGCTTGTCACTTGGCATGGATGGCTCCCCTCCTCTGCAGCTGCAGCATGCACGGGTGCCTGAGCTCCACCAGTGCCGTCTGCCCCACCTGCTCTGCTGCTGCGAGTGGCTTCATCTCTGCAAAGGAAGCACATGCACAAAAGCTGAAACTGCCAAGTGGGATTTCAGTTTGTATTCACACCCAGAGCTGGCCAAAGAAGGAGAAAACATCCATCTCGGAAGGGTTTTCAGGATTTGGCTTCATGTTTCGGTATGTTCAAACACAATCTGTCTACTCCCATCAGGAAAAACAAGAGGAAGAAAAAACAGCCTGGTCTTTAAAAGTCAGGGCTGCCATGGCTAAAAAGTACATGAAGCACTTGGCTAAAAATAGATTAGTCTGAACCCATGACATGAACACAAATCCACACCCCATAACTGGGTATTGGGGGGCTCCTTTCTCTCCTTCCAAAATTAAAGCTCAGCTGTGGAGCTTCCTCAGCCATGTATATTTTGTGTTTGAGAAAATTCCTGGTAGGGTGTAAAGATTTCACCTCTCTGAGCTTTGGATGGTTTCGTTATTAGTAGGCCACAAATGAATTGAGTGGATGATGCAAAAATGAGCGCCAATAAAATATTCACACCAATTCTTCGTTCCTTGTGAAACAGCTTTTATATACATGTATATACGTAATGCCATAAATAATAGAAATTATGCTCGTATTTTAAACCAGGGATGTAAACACTGGTCCCAACAGCAGTGGCAAATGAACCACTCACATTTTCTGATTGCATAATTTGCCTAGAGGATGAATACATAATTACACTATAATTAAGTATAATAAACAGAGAAAATGATTTGAGAAGGAAAAATTATCACCGCCTCAACCACATCAGCCAGAAGTTCTCTTCTAATTAAGTTATTTTATTAAACAAAATGTTTTTAAGGTGGGTCCCCTTTGAAAATGTACATTATAGCCCATGTAATGCAATTTACTTTATAAGTAAAACATGGCTTGTGTACGGACAGATGGTATCTGATGGGACCCATGAAACACATGGGTCCAGTCCAGCCAGGTGCTGAGTCCCTCACACCCTGATATAAGGAGCAGACCCCAAGTGCTGGTCTGGGAAACTGCAGCCTTTTATTTGCATCACTGATGGGCTCCTTCTCTATTGCTTGGTTGGGTTTTTTTTTCCTGATTTAAAGGGAGAAATGCAAGCAGGTAATTCTGATGGTGTCATCCTGTAATGATACAATGGAAGCAAAGGACAAGAAAAGAGGTAGCTCAAGGTGGCCCAAACAGCTCATGCTGTTTGGAGTTGAGTTCAAAGAGTGTTTTATTCCCTCTCCAATGCTTTACTCTCACTGATCCTGCTCAGTGCTTGACAAGAAGAGAAGATGGAGATGCCTTTTTTGTTACTGCGGCTGAAGAAATCCAAAATAGTGGTTCGTGATCTGCAGGACTCAGGAGGAACACCTAACCTGCTCCCTTACATGGCAAAGGCCAGCAGACAGCCTCCAGCTCGTTCCTCCTGGAACTACAGCTTATTTTTCTAAACACCTGCCCCCCGCTAGCTGGGGAGTTCAGGAGTTAATAGAGGAGCCTTGGAGCATTGCTCTGCAGTCAGGCATGGCTCCTGTTTCATTCCCCACTATCACAGAAAGGAAAAAATGTTCACCCTCAAGTTTCAGCCATAAGATTTCTGGATACATCTGCCTCATTTCCACATTTCTCTTCCTCTTGTGAGTACTTGGAGATTGCGATCAAGCCTCTCTTCAAACCTCTCTCCCCTAAGCTCACTGCTGCCTGATACCGATCTCTGCTGGTTTCCTGGCTCTTCAGGGCTCCTACAGCCTTGCAATGTTCTTTGGGAAGATCTCTGTGCATCACTGACCTGATTTCTTAACTATTCACTCCCTTATTCAGTTCCCAAGTCACTTCTAAAGGTTTACTTGCAGTGACAGCTTTTCTTTCAGGTCACTGTAAGAAAGAGCATAACCTCAGTAACATCCCTTTGGTACCTGCTAGGGATGGATCTCAGAATGGGCTTACATCCCAGCACAGGAGAAAACACCCTGGCCAATGCCAGCTTGGATGGGGCCCTGAGCAACCTGACCCAGTGGGTGGCATCCCTGCCAGGCAGGTGGGTTGGAACTACATGATCTGTAAGGTCCCTTCCAGCCCAAACCATTCTATGAATTCTCAGGACAATCCAGGGAAAGAAGAGGCTGTGTCCTAAACCACCAGTTGTCCACAGCAGCACAAGGTCCTCGAATTCAAACTGTGGCACGTTATGTAGTGAGAACACCTCCAAACGCCCAGTGACGATGTCTTTCCCTAGCGCTGCCTACTGCTTTCCAGGGCATCAGAAACACAGTGGTGGTGCAGAGGAATCTTCTCTTGTTTAGAGTTTTCCACTCCTAAGCACTTGCAGATCTTTGAACTGCAGAGCGTGGTAGGTTATTGATGGATTAAGAGGTGTGTGGTGACTGCTCGCAGGCTGCCCCAGGGTCTGTGCACTCCTCACTGCAGCTTCTCTCCTCATCTCCTGCATTCCCAGCGGAATGGTGACCCGATTTCAAGAGGAGCTGCCATGACAAATCACGTGGCAGTCACAGACGTTGCAAACTCAAGCCAAAGAGTCATTCTCAAATGCTTGGCAAACGCCAGACCACAGAAACTCAATGTGTCGTAAGATTCCACTTGGTCCCATAATGATGGGTGGGAAAAAGGAGGAGGATTATCCGTAGACCTCAAAGTGTTTTACAAAGGGAGACAAATGCTGCTATTCCCATTTATTGGATAGGGCAACGGCAAGTTGAGACTTGCACGAAGTCACCCAATTAATCAGCCAGAAAACTGCCACTGAAACCCATATTCTGGTCTAAACAGGTTCTCAGACTGCCCTCATCATGTAATATCTGAGTACCCTCCAGTAGTGCATCAGGAGAATTTGGGCATGCCTACACTGGCTGACAAACAGCTGCCTGTCACTCCAGCCCCCTTCTCAGCCAACTGGACAAAAGCCATCTCCAGGTGGAAGGTGTGTAGCCACGTTCACACCATCCCGAGCCCAGGTGTAGGAACCCCACCACAAGCTGGGCTGAAAGCTCAGCCCACCACCCCTCTAACTCAACCCTGTGGCTTTCAGGGTGTAGCTTGGTCACGGGGCATGGACAAAGCAGATGTGACACTGTCCCTGAGAGCAGAGAGACCTTTTTTATTCTAAATCCAGTTTCATCACCTGTAGTGCCCCTCAGAGTATTTTCCTCATGCTTTAGTTCTCACTGAGCCGTGGACATGGAGCACAAAAAATGTGTTGGTTATCTGGTTACAGCCTTATGGATCCCTGGAGGAGAGACCTGGAAGATGACACTTAAAACAGGGATATTTGGATACACCACCATAAAAAAAAAAGAAAAGAAAATATCCAAAATATATGCAGTGAGTCATGAAAAAGGAAAGAGAAGGAGGGCATCTCTAAACTCAAGATCTATTTGTCATGAGCAAGAGTACTAAAAAATGGGTAAGGTAATGACCTGAAGGCAGACTAGCTGTTATTACAGGGCACTGTACTGGCAAAGCTCCTATACATCACAACAATCATTCTCTCCAGACTTCTCTTCCCTTCCAAGGCATGAGGAAACACCAGTGCACTTAGCCTCAATTCCCTGGCAGGCAGCATCACTTCCTCGTGAGAGCTGACACAGCCATGGGAAGGCCGCCCTTTGTAGCAGCCACAAAAGCCCCGTGTGACCCAGCCAGTCTGACGTAGAGCAGGAGAAATGAGTCCTGCTCCAAGGAAGCTAAAAATCCCAAGGTGCCCTGAGACCTCGTCCTGGACTACTCACGCTCCCAGGTTTGGAAATCCTTTGAGGGTTGCTGAGTTCACACGAACCACTCCCCGCTCTGGAAGTCCAGCTCTGCTCACCCCGATTTTGTTTTCCTCCCCGGGTGCCCACTTCCAACGGGCCATGGGGCGAGGTGGGCTTTGATCTGGGGCAGCACAGCTCCTGTTGTGGGATCTGAACCCCTGCTGGCAGGGATCCAGCGGCTTCCCCAGCTTCGCCTGGGGAAAGCAGGGCAGCGTGTAGGCGGCTGGTTCTTCACAGCTTTGCATTTGTTGGACTTCAGCGTTCATGCATATGCACGAGGGCACAGACGCTGCTGGAGAAACGGACCTGCTTAACTTGGCCACGATCATCCAGGAAGTTTGTGGCAGAGCTGCAAATAAAATCCAGACATTTTGCCTTTTGGGGCTGCGTCTTCACAACAACGCTGCTCTTCCTCTGGGCATCTGGGCTTGTTGTCTTATCACTGCTCAGCGTGTCTCCTTAAAGGGGAAGAGCGCCGGGAAAGCCACGCTTTCATTCAGTAGGGAAAATGACACCACCTACATAGGAAAACCCCATAGATTTTTGCAATTACTGCCATGCACGGATAGCTTTCCCTCCCTTTGTGATCTTTACCACTTCCTCAGCATATGGAAGAGGCCTGATCCTGATGAAAACAGTCATGGTTCCAGAAATGCCACTCAGACGATGTTGCTTTACCTCCACAAAGGATGTGGCCCAATGCTTTTGGCCAGACTTTCCTGCAAGCAGCCAGTCACATCTCTGTCTCCTCCACCCAGAAAGCTGGGAGAAGTCATGCAACAATAACTTTGCTCAACTTCACCTGGCCCACCCAGGGAACAGCTATTTCTGTATAGACGCGGAAAACCCCAGCCTTGTCCCTTTAATCTAACATCTCCTGCGTGTTGCTAAACCTAATTTGAAAAAAAAACCACCCAACAACCTGAAAATAGCATTAAAGGAAGCAGAGGATTTGAACAGCACTATATTTTTAAGATGGTCTTTCTGGAAAACACTGTATTTAAAAAATGGCCTTTTTACCATTAGGTTTCTGAAACTACAGAGCCATCCCAAGCTTACTCTGAGATAAGGCTTGTAATTTGGAACTGAGCAATGGAGTATAAACACAACTGGCTTTGTATTAAGAGGCAATATGTTGTACTGCCCCCACTCCAGAGGGGTTTGGGGCTATTTGTGCTGGAAATTAAAGCTAAGAGCAACTTGATGATGAAGGTTGAAGGTTGATCACCCTCCATGCCTGGCAGAAGGATGCTGTATCAGGGTACAAATCTACCTGGAAATCTGGAGGCAAAAATCCACTCCTTTGAGAGTTTATGGTCCCCTGTCTCGCACACTTGCACGGCTGTTTATTTAAGATGTAAGCCTGCAACTTGAAGTGTTTGTAAGGGCAGCTGTTGAGCTGCGGTGGGTAGAGGTGGCACACTGCACCCTCCCCTTAAGTGGTGTGACACCAATTCAAGACTATTTTAACAAGAAAATCTCATTCCTTCATGTTCCCTTGACATATTCCTATTAAAGGGATGGCAAACCCAGAGAAACACAGGAGTTTCTGTGGTAGTTTTATGCCAGGTATAAATATCTATGTAGGAGCCTTTCAGACCTCTTTGCATTCCCAGAGCAAGGACCAGATCTGACTTTGGATTTTTTAATTTTCTCCCAATTTGCTGGCATGGAATCTGACAGCCAGGCAGATGTGTCTGCCTTGATCTGTGGTGTGGATCTCCTCTTGCACTCTCCTCTGTTTTTCCAAGCCTCAACAGGGGAAAGTGCAATTGCTGTCCAGAAACATTAATCACAGCATCTCAGGTCTGTAAATTCTCAAGAGTTTTCCTCCTGGAGCTCTGGAAGACTCTGACCCATTTTCCAAACTGGGCCTAAAGCATATATACATAAGGGGAGCACACATACTCGGAGCATCTGCAAAAACATATGGTAGTTTCACATCCCACTAACCAGTTTCCTGGACTGCACACACATAAGTGCAGGCTTTGTGAGAACCAGCAGTTTCTGAGCGCTGGGTTTGTGACTCTCATCCCTGAACCGCAGCCCTTCCTGGATGCTGGGAGAGATACCATTTCCCTCCTCATGTGCCAAGTTATTGCACCGGGTCCTCCTGGATCCTTATTCTGGGACAGCCTTTTCTGCAGGTGGAGCTCCTCTCTGGCTTCCCTGACACAGAGAGGTCTTGTGCTACCTCTGCTGAATCCCAAATGGGGAAAAGAGCCGTTTGCAGGATCAGTAATTACACTTCCGATATCCTGGGGTTGTGCTGGGCTGCTGATCTGCAGAGCTCATTGCAAACCTTTCCATCTAAATCTTTTGTGTAACAAAAGGCCATTTTGCCAAAGGACCTGCTTTCCTTAAATATACCTTAGTGAAGCACAACTTCTAAGACTTGGCAGTTGTTTCTGACAGCGATACCCTTTTTCCTGTCTTATCAACATTTTCTGTGCAAACATGCCCACCCATCAGCATGTTTTCCTTTTTAGCCACCAAACTGGAGTCCCTCATGCCAACAGAGCAGTAGACCCCACAGAACTGATTTAAGCAAACACATGTAAATATGGAGAGAACTTCCTGCACCTGTCTGTGCCCATGCCACTCACGTGGTGCATTAGTTTAAACTCGTAGAAACACCCAGGGATGGAGATCCAAAGCCTCTCTGCATCATCATTTCCAGCATCTCCCTCCCCCTACGGACAGAGCTCTCCTAAACTGCCACCTCCTTTGTTTTGCTGAAAATAAACCAAGTAGCTCTTGTCCTCCCCATGCAAACAGACCCAGTGATCACTGCACTCTCTTACCACACCCCTTTCAGCCACTGTCTTCATGGGAAGTGCCTCATAGCTCTCCTTGGTTTTTTCTAGACTAAACAAATCCAATTTAAAACAGAAATTCCTTACAGGTCATGTTTTTTGAACCCCCTTATCAGTGCTGTTGCTCTCCTCCAGACTTCCTCCAGAGTTTACATCTCTAGTTGAAGAGTGGAGTGCGGATCTGAGGCCTGGGCCTCTCCAGCACCACAATGACCTCCACGCAAAGACTCCATGCTCTTGTTACATGTTCTAATCACAAGTATCTTTCTGGCCGCAGCATCACACAGTAGACTTAGACTGGTGCTTTTCCTCTACCAGCTCCCCTGGCACATTGCCAGGACCCTGACCTGATTCCTTAATCCTTTTTTCACCTAAGGCTATTTTTAAAGTGCATTCAGAACCTTTAAAATGAATTCTCCTCCCAAAGTTCGGGTTTCCCAGACTATTCTGTTGGTTCCACCTACTGTAAGAGCCCTGTCTGCTGCACCATCCAGACTGCTAACAGAGATTTAAATGAACCATGAGCAGCACAGACTTGTGTTGATGGTCCTCTCACTTTGACAATGAATCACACCTGCCTAATCTTCAAGTGTGTTATTACAACTGATGGCTGAAAAATAGCAATTATTTCTGATAGGTATCATGTCTGATACCAAGGGTTGTCCAAAGGAGACCTGAAGCCAAGAGTGATACCAGTGAATAATACACCGGTGAATCCCTACTCATCACCTGTACACAGAAACAGGCTTGAGTACCTGAAACTACACTCTCCATTTTTACAGGAGGACAGCAGCAAAGCTGGATTATTCACAGCTCTGAAAGCAGGACGGGCACACCAGTATGGTCCTACAGCCAAGATGATGAGCTAATCAACCTCGTATTGTTAGAGGAGTCCCCACCTATGCTCACACAAAGGGCCGATTAGCTCACAGGTATGCAAACCTCTGGGATGATGCCACCTTTCATCGCCACCACAAGCGTTTAATACATGTTAGGGTGCCAACAGTTAAGTGTTTGTGTGTGCACAGACAGCACAGCCACTGCTGCTGTCCCAGGAGATGCACACCGTGCCAGGGCAGTGCTGGGCACAGCTCTGCTTCCCTGGGTTCAGCTGGGAGTCTGCAGTGTGTGGGGCCCTTCCAGCACTCCTGCAATGTCCTGGGGCAAGGAAGCCATAAACACCCCCCTGTCCAAGTCACTGAGGGAAATGCTGAGTGCCTGAGTGAGCTAAACACACTGTTCCCACTGGTGTGCTCCAGTGAGAATGTCCCTTGAGGAGCAGGGCTGTAAGTGCACATGGCAGTGTATTACTGCTTGGGCTGGGTGGTGTGATTGCCATTTCACACCGGCAGTGATGATGGGAAGCACTGTGTGAAACACATGATGGTGAATCCCCATCACCACCCCGTGGGCACTTGATAAACACCACATTTACACTGCTGCCACTGTCACCTCTGTAACAAGGGCTGCATGGTCTGAAAGGGAAACAAGCAGGTGGGAGGAGCTGGGAAGAAAAGTCCTTTGAGGTAACACCTTCCCTTTTCCTCCAGGGGTGAAGCCATGCGGTTCAGAGGAAGAGAGGTGCTGGGGCTGCACCATGTAGCCCCTCATTTGCAAACCACCTGCAATTATTTGTCTTCTTTCAGTGTCCACCAGCAGTTCTCACACCACAAACTAGCTACAGCAATCTCTTTATGTCATACATTTTATGTCACAGAAGAAAACAAATGATAACTGGAGGAAGAAATCCTGCCTAGTATGAGAAAAAGTCAGTGAGTGATACATTTGCTGCCTTACAGTGATGTACCTTACCAAGATTTAATGAAGGCAGTAATCTCTTCTTGCCGTCTTTTCCTGTACTCTTCCTTCCATGCTCATTGCTGAAGATTTGCAGGATGCTCCCTATTAGCTTAACAGCCACCTGGAAAACAAGGTAACCAAACAAGTCATGCACTGAAATGCACTTCTGACAAATATGTAACCATCTATGTCTCTCTTAAATGTTTTCTGACTGTAAAGTGAAAGCAGTAGCAGACACAGGAGCACATCACAAAAACATTTGACTGCAAACAGGAGAGCTTTCCTTGTCTTGCTTATACAGGGAGACAACATTTATTGTACTAGAGAGGATTTTTCCACCTGGGCCACCTGTATTCTAAGGAGCAAATGCTGAGGGTGTGTCACCTGCATCTCTTCTTCCCAGGGATGTTGGGCAAATCAAGACCCTGAGGAACTGACTGTAAATTCATGCCCTAGAGCTTGTGGGGAGAAATTATCCCAGAATAACTTTGGTCTGTTGCCGACTGGGTAAATCCCAAATGATTACAACCCTGCAGAGCTTTGCTGGTTTCAGAGCAGCAGTTATGGTTCTAGCAGTTGGGCTCCAGCACCTGGTGGGATCTCCCAGCTCCAGGCCCACTGTGATTCCTCCTCCACATGGACCAGGACCTCTCCAACACCAGCTGCTGTTCACAGCACGACACGTAAATGAGGCCAAGAGGGAGTTTGCGGAGCCAGGCTTTGCTTCCTCTGGCCAGCGCTTGCACCTAACACAGAGCACTTTTAGCCTACAGAAGTCTCTGCACCAAATGACTTTGTCCTAATCACTGCACTGCCTCAGTTATCGCCCGCACACACATTCCCTTCGGATCAACATACCGGCTGGGCCAGGAATCACACAATTGATGTTTTGGTTTCCACTGCCTTATCTAAATCCAGTTACTGCTCAAAATGAGACTAAGTCAACAGACTTAATTGAATGAAAGGGCTGTGAGACAACCTCGAGATTTGTGGCTGTGTGTGTCCGTGCAGGAGTTAATCGCTAAGCAAACACTTTGCCACAGACAGAGCTGGGCTGAGGGGGATCGGTTTTTCCAAGGCCTGGAAGCTCCTGACACGCCGGGGTTGTGGGAGGCATTGTTGGGGCTGGCAGGAGGATTTAAAGAGCGCTGCAAACAATGCACCACCACGGAGAAAAGCTGAGGATGGACAATGGAGCAGGCCATCAGCAAACACTCCTGCTTGCTGCCTTGATCAGGAGATAGCAAAGACCCCACAGCAGTGGCCCAAAATAATTGCTCCCCTGTAATCGCTGCTGTCCAGATATGTGAAACAGCCCTGGGACACCCACTGGGAGCAGCAGGTTGTTTGGCATCCTTAGCTCTTTCTGGGGAGGCAGCTCCGGATGTCCCCAGTGTCCAGCTCTTTGCAGGCATCAAAGGATTTTCCAGGCTGTAGAGCCATGGAATTCCTCTGGTTCTGCAGTTCAAGTGAGAAAGGTATAAATGAAACACATGGGAATGGCGACGCTGGGTCAGACCATTGCTCCACCTCACACCTCTTCCTGTCTTCAGTGGACACCACGAATGGACTCTGAGGAAAGACCATCACCCTGATGCAGTCCCCACTGTTACAGTGCTGCACAAAGCTTTCCAGAGCTGGAGGGGGAACAGGACCAAGCCTTACTCAGCAATTACAGATTGACCTGGCAATCTCTGTGCCTCTCCTTTGCCCACCACCTGCTCAGTTCAGAGCCCCCACCTTGGCATCTGGTGCTGCTGTTTAGGGAGGCTGCAGTGGGAATGTTCAGGTTCTCGCCAATGGCTTGTCTTGGCCACTGCCTGAAGGGAGGCTGAGGCTGCAAACCTCCTAAAATAGACATTAAATGTCTCCTAATATAAGATGACTCACACACTTTCCTGGCCGGTAGGACTTTGTCAGGTGATGGAGAACCTGAATCAGGTTCCCCGGTAGGCAGTGACAGCCTGATGGACACCCAAAGGGGACTTTGCCATGAGCCATACAGAGACAGAGCCTTGCCATTTTAACATGATTTTGGCCGGTAAAACTCATCCCAGGCTACACAGACACCATGCCTTGGACTGGCCACTCACTTGTCACCACCCATTAGCTCTGGACCAGGATGTCTGGCTGTAAAAATGCAACTGTGGGGGTGTCCCCTAAAGAAAAGAGGGCACTGAACCAGCCTGACCCTTCCTCCCAGAGGCAGTTCCTATCCTTTGGCGTGCCACACGAGCAGAATAGACAACTCTTTCAGCAAAGTCAGGAAAGATGGGAAAGCTGATGAGTTTTGTGATCAGGTGCATGTGGCCAAAGTGCTGCACAATGCCAAAAGGAATTGCTACTGAATGCCCAGGATTTGGGATTCAACATGAATAACACACGGCTCTATATTTCACTCCTTTAACAAGTGCTGAATATGCAAAAGCTCCTTTCCCAGCTTCTGTCTTCGTTCTGGAAGCTGGGGAAGAGCTGTGTGTATAATTATTTTCAGATGCCATCCACTTTATTGATTAGCTGAGTCGGATGCACAAATACTGGCAGCTAATGCCAGAGCAGAGGTCAAATGAAGCTCGCTCCCTTTTGGGAAAAGCTGAAATAAACCCACCATGTGAATGGGTCATTGAAAACAGCCTGGAATATATTCCCTATAGTCATTCCGAGAGTTCAAGGGCAGGGGAAAAAAGAGGGGGGGAAAAAAACCCAAAACAGCTGTCTCTGTGTTCACTAAACTTCTAATATCTGAAAAGTGCTTAACAAAACACACAGTTTTTTTTTCATACAATCATGGAAAAACACACTAAGCTTTTGACTCAATAGTTTTGTTTTTCCAGAGAGTCCCTTCCAGGTTCCACGCACCATCCCATAGTCACGTCTGCTGGGTGAGCTGACAGACTCGAGAGGAGCTCTCTGTGATTTGGAGTTTCAAGTATCAGCTTGCTGGAAGTGCCACGGAGAGGGAGGAGGGAGGGAAGCGGCGCGAGCTTTGCCAACACACCTGCACAAGCTTTGGGCTCTCTCGTGGACACTCCGTGTGCTAATGATGTATAACCTGCAGAGCCTGGCAGCTCCCTCGCTGAAGACTCTACCAGACACACTGTGCAAGCCTCTGATTTCTAATTTCTCAAAACAAGTAATAAAGCGCCCCCCTCCCCCAGCCCTGTGCTGTAGGTAAATGCTCAGGATGGAAACTGAGATGTGTTCAGCTGGGCAGAGCTTCTACCAAGGCAAGGAACAAATGACAATTTAATTACGGTGCTTTAGGTCTATGTAATTCCTCTTGTAAAGCAAAAGGGAGGAAAAAAGCTCAAAGAGAGACAGAGTTCATTTCTGCTCCAATGTTCTGCTAATTTTTCTTTTTACTATTAGAGATTCATCTGGATCCTATTTCTAATCCGCTTTCAAATTTGCTCGAATTAAAATCCCAGATCACTGCTGTGTTTTCAAGTTGAAGTGTGCATAGTAGCCAAGGTTTATATTGCAGTTTCTGGAGTTACGGGATGATGAGCTCCAAAAGCAGAAACCGTGTTGGATGCTCAAGTGCTGGGGAAAAAAAAAACACAACTAGTTGGCACTGGTGTTATTTGGAATTGGAGCTCATTTGTAGAATAACTAGCCTTGAAGTTAATACATGGCTACATTTTACATGTGGTTCTGCCCTCTGGAATTGGTGGGTATGGAAGAGCAATGGCTGCCATGGTGGACATGTAGGAGTGGGAAGTGCTATTTAATTATAAAGCCTAGATATTTTTGACCTTTCCCCTGATATATAAAAGTTCCCCACTAGTTTGGGGCTTATTTTAATAAGAAATTCACCTTCTGACTAAAGTAGCACAGTAAGAGTGCCCTTGCTTTGAAATACCTGTGCTTTCTCTGTTGCTGCCCCAATGCCAGTCTGAAAGCTGGCACTTCTCCAGTGTCCCGGTTGTGCTTAAATCCAATAGTCCTGTTAGATTTTGCCACCTGGAAAACACCGTAACTCTCATGGAGTTATGAATCCCAATATTCTCTGGGCTTTCATCTCTCTTTCACGACAATTCCCAGCCGCTGCCAGGTGAAGCCAGGCAGCCAATATTTATGGAAAACGAGTGGACTAATCATTTCCAATAGCGGGACAGGATTATGATATAATTGCAGCAGTTTGCATTGACATCCAAGTGGATGGATACGGGCCAGAAATTGGAATAACGGCTCCACCCACCTACCACCCAAATGTAAACAAGCCAGCATGGCTAAATGGAGGCCTGGAAGCCAGGGCTCGGCTGTTCTCCTCCAGCTGTGTTCCGGTGGGAGTGCCAAGCTGCCACACAACCTTCCTGCCAGGCAGTTCATCCACCCTAAACTGACCCTCACCTCACTCAGAAAGTTCAGCGGCTTCTTTTCACACAGGGCTACGAGTGCACTGCTGTTAATAAGAGTAGGAGATTATACTTTGGAGATTGGGTGTTGCAGGGTCCTGAATTAAACCTGTTGAGTACCTAAAATCCAGCTCAGCCCAAGCCACGACTGGCCCTGATGTTGTGTGTGCATGTGTGGATAGGGGAATATCTGCAAAGGGAAAGGGAGTCTCAGAAGACCTTGACCTTACCCTGGTAACTTACTACCTTGTCCCTCCCCAAGTTGGCCTAAATACAACTAAATTAAGCTATCCCTCAAATGACATTGCCAATAAACTCATGACCCTGGGTGAAACAGCATTTGCTGTTTGTTGATGCATCTTGGCGTGCAATGGTTGATCCACTGCTCCCGGTGCCATCACCTGGAGAAAATGGATGATGCTCAGCTTCCAGTTCTCAGTCCTAAACAGGAGAGAAGCTTGGCCTGAACGTGGCCAGTGCCTGCATCTCTGGTTATCAGAGGCCTCCTCAAACAGGCTGGCTAGAAGGAGGAAGCTCTTGGAGCCCGGGGCAGTTTGTACCAGTGAGGACCTGGCCTGTGAACACTCACACCTGCGCTGTGAGGACAAGCAAAGGCCCGCGCTCCAAAGCATGGTGAGCTCCAGCCTCCTAAGCTGTACGAAATCCCATTTCCTCTCTACTTGTGCTAAGTGTAAAAACAGAAACAAAGACACACACCTAAATAAACAGAAGAGCACAGGGAACAGAAGGGGAGAGAGGCCCTAGTGCAGGTCAGACGCCAATTGGTACAGAGAGATGTTTTCTGTTTGCGGCCCTTCGTGTCAGGCCCTGCTACGTCACGTGGAGGGGAATGTGAGTGGGAGACTTGTTGGACACCGTTGGCTTTACAAATGCCTCACTACTGCAGAAACACCTGCTTTACATTATTTTTCTTGCTGGTCCACAACAAAATTCCTCCCTGGTCAACAGTTCTCAGCAGACTTTTTTCTTCCTTCTGTGTGGATGGCTCAAACCACTGGTTTCTAAATCCTGGGCCACCACGAGATCACTCTGGAACCTCCTTGAGCAGAAGGGCGAACCAGAAGGCAGAAGGGCACTTCTGTGCAGAATGCCAAAGTGTTGGCCAGAGGGCCAGAAGCACATGAGGTTGCTTACTGTCAGGTGGGGGGAGCGAGGCAGGGGGGTTACCCAGGCCAAACGGATCTGTAAGACCCATCTGTTTTCACCATGAAAACCTCACAGCCCACACCTATGCAACACACACCACTCCAGCCACCACAAGTTATTACTCTTGGTCTCCACTGCTTCCTGTGAAGCTGTAATGGGTCTGAGACAGCGTCCAATGAAACCAAAGGGAGCCTTTCCATTAACTCAATGGGCTCTGGATCAGGCCCAACATCTGTTTGGCCCTCTCTGTACACAGCACAGCCAATTTATTCTTTATCCATTCCTGGGCCTCTCTCTCCAACAGCATCCATATTTTTCCTACTTATGGTTGTCATTAACCACACTAAGCACCACCCCCAGAGAGACCATCTGTGCCCCATGGCAGCCAATCCCTTGGCATGGCACAGCAATGAGCGCTTCCCCAAACCCTTATCATCTCAGCAAGGACTCTCCTCTCTGTTCAGGTTTCCAGGACATCCCTTGGAGCTGCCGAGCTCTTCCTACTCCCCCCTCCTCACCAAGTAGAGGGCAGGTTGTGCCTTCTCTTCTATTGTAAACCTGGTGAAGAATCAATGCCAAATCCAGACAGCAAGGTCCAAAAGCTCTCTGAACAGACATTTCCCACCTTGGTTGATGACAGCACAGGCAAAGACTTCCCTGGAGATCCAGAGTAGGAGGGAGAATAGCCAACAGGCAGCTTATCTTATATTGTGGAGTCCAGAGCTGGAGTAAGAGATTCATTCTTCAAACTGTCTGTGTAAGACCACAGAATATCTGAAGTTGGGTGGGACCCATAAGGTTCACTGAGTCCAACTCCCCAGCTCCTCACAGGACTACTTAAAACTAAACCATATGACTACGAGCAACATCCAGGCACTCCTTGAACTCTGACAGGCTTGGTGCTGTTACCACTTCCCTGGGGTTCTTCCCCACCATCCCTGTATCTCCTCAAGTGTGAATGCAAACACTGTGCCAGTTCACAGCACTGCCGTTTCCACTCTCACCAAATTTGTGATTCACTTTGCAGAGACTAAGACACAGGACCAGAAGGCACAAACCTTCTCTAGGTCCCACAGTGACAGACACAGCAATGGTCCATGAGACGCCATCCAATCACTGAGCAATACATGACATTCATTTCTTTATGACTCTGCCAAGCCCTTGGATTCCAGGATCTTTTTTCCAACTGGCACACATGGATTCCCATGCTGTGACATGCATGTCATGCTAAGCAGAGCAACAGCCTTTTCGGAGAAGCCAAGCAGCTTCTTACAGCAGAAAAACAAGTCTCCAGTGCTAAATCTAGAGATTCTTCCAAGCATAGAGCTGCAGATTGATTGTGGGCACTGCCTTTGCAAAAGTGAGAATCCCATGCAAAAATACCTGCCCGACATACCCCCAGAAATCACATGAGTTTGAAAATGGGAGTGTCGCCTGAGGCCAGCTGTGGGGACTGGCAGGCTGCTGGCACTGCTGCAGAGGCACATCTGCATGTCAGGTACTTACTCATTCCTGCATACTTCCCTGATAAAATCTGGATTGCCTAAAGCTGGTATTTTCACTCCAGTTTCCTTATCAAGGTATTTACCACCTCCTGTCTGTGCCTTGTAGACTGAGGGTGTTAAATGCTCCCCTGTTCTCTCTGCAGTACAGGCAGCTGGAACATGTGGGAGCTGCCCTACAGGATGGGATTCCAAACCCACCGGAGCACACAGTGGGTGGCTGCTGGCCTGAGCTCTGTGGGACCTCACCCCCTTGGTACCTGGGATGTTGTTCTTTGGATCCTCACACTGGCTTTCTGCAGCTCCTTCCTGTGTTTTGGGGTGTTTGCTGAGGTGCTTTCTGGTAGTCCCCGATGGCATTTTGGAAGTCCTTGTCTCCTGTGCAGGGTTCCCTCCTGGTGTAGCTGTTGCTCAGCTCTGTGAAGAGGAGGACAGTTTGGGCTGGAGTTACCTCAGCAATAGCAGAAGTGTACACAGCACCTCAATATATGCACATGACATTTTTTATCTCTAAAATAAAAAGCAGATCTCTGTCTCTCTACATACCAATACTGAGCAAGACCCGTGGTCACAACGGCAAACTCCCCTTGGAAACTCTGAGCAATCCCTTTCCAGGAACACCCCACCTCTTTCCCACCCACTGCTGATACCAATCACCCATTTAGCCAATGGCTCTCACACCCTCCTCTCCCCATGAGAGAACATCACCCTGAACCCTTCCCAGGGTGTCCTTGATGGCTCTGCTGTTCCCCTACAAGCTTCATAAAAGAAGAAGAACAAGAGACATGTTCTATAACACAGTATCTTAAAAAATTATTAATCTCCTTGAGGAAAAATATTACTGGATTACCCACTGGGAAAACCTGAGCAACAGATCTGTTTCAGCAAGCATGTAAATATTTCAGCAGTTGAAGAGCAACACTTGTGGGGACTGATCAGCTGGGTTGACCCTGCTTTGAGGGAGGATGTAGTTTATTCTGGGATGCTGGTCCTGCAAACAAGGCTGTCCTCAGCCCCTCCCATGAGCGTTATGCCACAGGTATACAGCTCGTGTCACTCAGACTTAAAAGGAAGCTTTCTGGCTAAATTCAAATGGAAAGAAATGAAATGCAATTTGATTTCAGAAATGCCACCGAGTTACTTTAGTTCAAAAAAATAACAAATAGGAGGTTACAGATTTCATATAGAAGGATTTTCTTCTGATGCTTCCGCTCCATTTTTGAATTGCTGAAATGCAGGAAAAAAATCAGAATCATCACTTGGAGTAGATTTCTAACTGAAATTTCTGTCTTGAGGTAGGCTGGCTGAAGGAAGTGAGATCTCTTCAGCTGCTTTTCCTAAAGAACTGCCCAGCTGTTACCAACCTGAGCAGACTTGTTTAGATCCCACCACTACACACCCCCATACTCCCCATCCATGCAGGGGTCTTGAGCTGCTGGACAACATCTAATGGGACCCAGGAAAAAGACCTCTGCTCAGCATATATCTCCTCTGGGGCCTTTCTGGAAGATGTCAGACTTGTACCTAAGGTTGCTGTCACACTTAACAGTGTCCATCCTGGTGAGAGCGCTCCCAACCCCACCAGCCAGGAAAAGCCAGCAGTCCAGGAGAGTCAGGCTCCATGGGCTGGTTTTTCCCAGCACTGAAATCAGAGGTGGTGTTAATTAGGTGCCAACTGCAATGAAGACAGGACGACATGGGCTTCAGCAGGAGCTGGCTGGGATTGTATCCCGCATCCAAGCTGTAACCTGCTTTGCATCTTCCCTCTCGCTGGTATAAGACTAGTTAGGCTAAAACCAACTTGAGACACGGCCACTCTTGCTGTTTCCATTTAGACTCTCTTAGAAACTGCAATTTTTTGGAAGTGTCGAGCACCTGCCACAACGCCTGCCTTGTACCCGGTGCTGAGCGTCCAGTGCAGGGAGAGGAGCAGCCCTGAGACACCTCAAGAGAGAAGTACAGCAAAGCAGCTGCTTTACAACGTGCAGTTTTGACCTGTCCTGCACCCTCCGAAGACAGTGCATGAGAATAAAACATAGGGAACCGTGTAGTGGGAGAGAGTAGCTCAGAAATTACTCCCGTAGTGAAGAAACCACATAATATATTCAAGATGTCAGAGGTTAGCCGTGGTGCATGTGAATCATGCTGCAAATACCTCACCTTTAACTCTACCGTCGTAATTAGATTACAAAGTTTTTATTACGGTTTTAAATTCTGCCTTTATAGGTTGCTGCCCAGCTGTGCACTTAAATCTGGTTTTATCACACTTTCTGAGCTCATCACATTTAATTCTGCCCCTACAATGCTGGATTAATACTTTAAGGGTCGCTGAAGTCAGAAGTCACTCACCCTTGCCCTACTAAATGGATTCACACCATCCCTGCATGGCCTGGAGTGATGTGTACAGTAAACCAAATTTACTGCTGTGGCAGAGGGGAAGAGGCAGTGGGGCTGTTTGTTTATTTACTCCACTGCTCAGCAGCACTGCTCTGGCAGCTAAAAAGGAGACTATTCAGGTCTGTCTGGGAGAAGTGGAATCTGGCTGATTAATGGGGTACATAGACCTGTACCATCTGAGGAATTGACCCGCTGTGCCCATCCAGGAATCACACCTTGCTGCCACACTCACTCCTGCTAGAAAGTCCAGTCCTGGTATTTTAGGTGTCCCATCTCTGATGTTTGAGTCAGCCCCAGAAGAATCAAAAAACAGTATTTTTTTTTCCCTAAGGGTGACTTCTTGGTTGTTGCCTATCATCAAAAAAGCAGAGCAAAGCAAAAATGAAACTCTTCATCTGAACAACATTCATCCCAACGTTTTACCCCAATCTGTTTTTATTTTCTGTCAAGCAAAGAGGTTGGTGTTAAATACCACCAAAACAAGATGAATCATTGCCATGAAAAAATAAAGGGAAAATCATATTCTTTCTATTACTAAGAAACACGGAGAAATGAGGTGCTGAAGGTCCAAGTGATTTACATAAAGTCCCAGAGGGAGTCTGAAAGGGATCTGGGAAATAAAACTAGCTCCAATGGAAAGGTCATTTTTCTCCTTCTTGCTGGGGAATACTTTGAACAGAATTAGGACAGACCTGAGCCAGAGAGGGACGGTAGGGACTTTAATACAAAGTGGAGGCCAAAATTTGTCACTGAGAAATGCCATGACAATTTTTTGACCTTTGCCATTCAATGACTAGACACATTTTTGGAACCAAGGTTAATAATCTTCAGCAATATACAACCTTCTCCCAAGGAATGTGTGGTGATTAGGGCAAAGAATTTCACATGGTCACAAAATATCTATCTCAGAGTCCTGGGCTTATAAAATACTCTATTTCCTCCATTAATTGTGTCCACGTGGAGCTGTAACTAAGTAGCTGAAACAAATAAAACCAAAGTAATATTGTTTCCTTTTAAAATATTTCACTTAATTTGTGGAAGAGGTTTGGGCTCATTAAAATAGACCATCTCCCCTGAGAGCTTTTTCCCTTTCTTCTCGGAGTCTTTGGAGCAATCCCTAGCGACGTGGACAGCAGCACATTGCTCCCTGGCACAGCCCTGGCCGCAGCCGCTCTCCCGCTCGGCTCAGCGGCTCCTGCCGTGCTGGCAGCCAGGGCACACTGTGCTAACATGGCCGAGCACCCTCTGATGTGCCACTGCCCTGAGATCAACTGCCGCTGACTGCAATTTCCTCCTTCCATCCCCAGCTCATTGGGAAACGCCCCTCCTTGCTCGCACAGAAAGGTGTGACTATCCAAATCTCTCATTTTCCTTTGGAAGTGACAGTATGTTCACTGTGACCAAGCGTGCAAGCAAATGCCTGCACCTCGGCAAGGACATACATAGCTGAAGCTACTGTGCAGGCACCTGGCTGCTTCCTGTGGATCTCAGACTGCTCCCTAATCTTCCAGAGTAAGCTATGAATGAGTTATGGGTGACATCAGAAACCGCTGTCTCACCAACAGACCGTGACAACTCCTTTCCCTGGGCTAATGTCAGTCACAGAACAGGGGACAAAGCACACAAGGCAGAGGTAAAGAGCAACCTGCAGCAAGGCTGCCAGGCTGCAAGAATAGCCTCCAGAAGAGGAATGATTCCACATTCCTTTCCAGGGGAACATCATTTTGTTCTCCTCCACTGAGGTATCTTTTCCAGGTCCACTCCTCCAAAAGAAAGGCATCCACAAACATGACTCTCTCTAGGCAAAAACAGGATAAGATCCAATGATGTCACAGACCCTTGTGAGCTCTCCTATTGCTCTGACCTGGAAAGTGCTGGTGCTGCAGTGGAACTGGGGCAATGCCAAGACCCAGGGGTGGGGGATGGAAGGATCTGACCAAAGGGGGCCAAATATGTGAGTGTTTGCAAGTGTTTGCTTAGGGCAGAAGTTCAAATTGCAACCCTCCCTGTACTAGCACGTTTCACAAGGTAGTAATGCCCTGTTGGCACCAAACATCCTTCCCTCTCCCCCGCTACTAATGTGACTCCAAACTCTCATCAGGTACCCAGGACAGACGCGCTTCAGCTCTGTTTTCTGAGGACACTGCCATAAAATTAGAATCTCTGATCCCTCTCCGAGTTTGTCCTTCACTCTTGTGGGCTCAGTCGCTCCATAGAAGAATTTAGGCCAATATTACCAGGCAACAACCAAACTCCTCGTGAGGGCATTCCAGTCAAAAGGAGTTCAGAGGCTCCCCCAGTGCTGGGTCACTCCAGTTCTTCTCACTCGTTTTGTTCTCCTTCTAGGGGGGAAGCCACATCTGGAAAACTACTGGTGTCCTGCTGTTCACTATGGACACCACTGGGAACTGGCATATGGTTTTGTAAACTGTGATTAGATCTACAAACTAAACTCTCATTATGACCTCTCTCAAGGTCTTTAAAAACACATTTCCCTAACAGCTATGATTATATCCAAATTCTTTCATTTTGGTAATAACAACATCATCCACATTTTCCTCTCTCCCTCCTCCTTTTTCTGATCATAATCTCGTTAGGCACAATAGAGAAATCATTCCATAATTCTCTTTTCTCCCCGTGGACTTGTTCTCTGGGCACAAACACTCTCCTCCTACCAGAAAAACAGTATAAACATAAACAGCTTCTCTGCTCTGGAGGAGCTGAACCTGAGGTGTGGGGCTTTTCTGGACCATATGAAAAAGTGATTACCATCAGACTTTCATTAGCATCATCATCAGTGTTATTACTGCTTATGTTAGAGCCCCCCTTAGAGATGACAGTCAGGACCAAGGCCTGATGACTGTTCAGATGCTGTACAAACAAAACATAAAGGCAGTCCTTGCCCTCAACAGCCTGAGATGTATCTGAGCAATGCAGACAGCGTGAGAACCAGGACCCAGCTCCATTAACCCCGTGTCACTGCCATTCCTCTGCTGCCTTTCTGCAGGATTTGGTGTCTCCCTTCTGCAGGCTCTGCTGGTCACCAGCTCGGCTGTCCCAAATCCCTCTTCTGTAGCACAAAGCCCAGGATTGCCATCACTCAGCCCCAGCAAACACGCTCCCAGCAACTGGTTGGGATGGCACTAAGGTTCTGCCCAAAAGTTTGTCCCCACCAAAAAAGCCATGGGAGAACTTGAGTGGGAAGAAGATTTCTGCCCTGAGCATATTTATTCCAGAGTATAATGTTCTGCTCCAGGCAGGTAGGAAGGCACCAGTCCCAGGTGACTTCAAAAGAGCTAAGTCAGGATCACCTCCGAGCTGAGAGGGAGAGCTGGACCTGCTGACTCTGCAAGGACCAGTTTAGGAACTGCAGCACCTGGGAAAAGGCATCTGACCACAGCAGGACAATTTGGAGTGCCTAAGTCATTCCAGCATTCTCTGAGGGAAAAAACCTACACACCTGACTGGGGGCTGTGTGTTGCCTATATCAGACCTGTAATGAAACATGTGATGGTATTAAATATTTAAAATGCTACAATTGCAACAGAATATCCCATTCAGATGAATCATGAGGAACCAAAGGGGTAAAAAAGTGCAGAAGCAGTTTGCTCAGCAACAGGGAGTGGGAGTGCAGGTCACAGCCGTCCATACAGGCATTTTCTGGATCATGTTGTCCGTGTGTCATAAATGGAGGCAAAAATGAATGCTTGGTTTGAAGGACTGACTCATTTGACTTTGATAAGATTTTATCTGGATAAAACCCGAATTGATTGACATCTCCTATTTCTTGGGTTTAATGAGCTCATAACTGTACTTTAATTGGTTTAATTACCAGAACATAACATTACAGGTATGTAATGTAGACCTTTAATACAGAGTTATACAACATATTATACTTGTTATACATCATAGATTACAACATGTAACGTAACACAGTTTTTCGTGGGAATTATTACCGGGATTATCAGTAGTGAATGTTCAGCGGCATGAACAGAAATTTCCCTTAAGTAATGTCTTTGGGATTCAGCCCTCCTTGTACAAGAACATACATCTGAGGGAAGTGTGAAGGCTGTGAAATACAAAATTATTTGTAGGCTAGGGTGGGATTTGAGTTCAGAAAGCTCAAGGACTAAGTTCCTCCAAGTTGTTTAGGCACCTCACTCCCATTTCAAATTTCCATGTTCACGTCAGAAATACAGTTTTTCCTCTAGCTTTTTCCAAGGCTGACTCCACGCTCACAGCATTTTCTCAATCTATTTATTGTCCTCATTTTGGAAATTACTATTAACAGAGCCCAAGTGTTTTCCTAATACAGTTGTTTAGATCTCTCTGGTGACACAGTTAGCAGCTGGGAGAAGCACCACAGTGTGCAGTTGTGTCTTTAATTATCTCTCCATTGTGAGCAGAGATTCTGTGTGCCAAGGTAGTTATTACACCTGACAAGGACAATGTATTTACAATGGGTGTTTATAAAGACTAATTCCTTATAAAAATACCTTGACAGAAAGTGCTCCACCTGCCTTCAAGTTCCCTATCGCAATTGCTAATTAATATTATTGTGCTGAAAATGATCCTATCAATTAAAGCCTCTCCTGTCAGAAGTGCTGCTCCCTGCCTAGCTATGCCTAATTAACCTGCTGCTGAATCACTCCCTAGGAAGGATGTTCAGCAGCCAGACAAAGTCTGGCTGATCTGCTTCCACTGCTCTGCTCCGTTTCACAGAGTCCTCTGCTCAGCTCAGCATGTGCCTCCCTGAACTTGCCCTCTCTGTCTGCCTCCACTCCACTGCTGCTTCTGATCCAGGGTTTAAAGCCACAGTCAGGTTCCTAGCAAAGTTCTCAACTATTTATCTGGTTAGCAGAGCCGACCATACACATATTTTCACAGCCAAATGCCATCTGATTCACTTTTCCAGTCACACTGCTTCATATACAGCTCTAAGTGCATTTGTGTTTTGGGGCAAAATGATTCTGCAGGACACTGCAGGTCTTGCAAATTTTCTGCATATTTGACAAGCTAAAATGACGTTTACATTGCTGGCATAAATGAGACCTGAGCCTTCAAACTGCATCAGAGTGGAACGGTCTGTGGATCTGTTGTCTGGGAATTGTGCTGGGGACCAGGAAGGACAGTGGGAAATGGCTGCCATCAGCCCCAGACGAGTCAGGTTCAAGCAGTGACTCTGTGCTTGTGTGTAGGTATGCAAGGATACAAACAGCAGTCTAATGGGATTGTCAAAAGGACATTACTCACCCCTCGGGAGGCCAGGCCGCCTCTTCTGCCAAAGAGCTCCCGCGTGGCTCAGCTCAAATTGCAAAACCTCCATGTTCTCCAGTTTCTCATCTGTTACAAGAGAGATAATTACAGAGGTGCTAAGAGGATAAATGTAGTACAGTCTGGGAGGTGCTCAGGAAGAGCATGTAAGATAGATGGGGCATGACTAGTTGCTCCTGTCTCAGGGCAAGCCTGGGCTCTGCAGTGACATGGATGGGGCTTCTGGCCAACCGAGAAATGAGCCGCGTGGCCAAGGGGGCTGGGCGAGGGCTCTCAGGGTACGGGGTTGTCCTCACTGGGTTTGCTGCAGAGCAGCCACTGATGTTGCACTCTGAAGCTTCCTTGGGCCTTTCCAGTAATCAAAAAATCATCAGGATACCCCTGGAGGACCCTTTTTAAATCATATTTCTGGTGTCCCTCTGTGCCACAGCAAACATCACGAATCACATGGAGGGGAAAAAAACCCCAATCTCCTATTTTCCAACTCTCTAAAAAGATCAGCTTCGAAAGAGGAGGAGCATTCCTGCTGGAAGCTGCTGTCTGCTCATCCCAGCTTGCTGGGCTGTCCTCGGTGACAAAGCTGTTTGCCACATGTTGCTCAGTGGCACCACAGCGATGATGTCAAGCCAGAGCAGCGGGGGGACTCATCCTGCCAGCCCAGCACGTGGGGGCTGCGCACAAGGAAACAGGATCTGAGGAGAGAGGATGTCATGTGTTGAGCCTCTTTTCCTTGGAACCAGCTCCGCAGTGCGTGTTACAGATTAAATTCCAAGCAAAGGCAAGGAAATCTTGTGGAGGGATGGCAAAGTAAGAAACCACATGCCCGTGCCTTTGGGCAGATAAGGCATCCAGGCTGCTCCTTCTGGAGATAACCAACAGCAACAAAGAGAGAAAGGCAAATATATAAAACTTAAAAATTGAATGCATCTTCCAGTGTACAAAATGAACCAGTGAATCAAACAGCCTGAAGGAACAGGAAGAGGTGTGGAAAAAACAAGACTTTCATACCCCCATGAAATCATAGGAATCTTGTAAAGAGATGGAAAGGAATTATTTGTTGTCAGAGAAATGCAAGAGTGATGCTGTGTAATGATGAAGCAGGTGATCAGCACACTGTGCTTGGGCATCTTCAGCATGAACCAGGATTAAGGCACTGCAAAAAATGTTCCACTCAAGCCTGTTCCCAAAGCACGCCAGGAGGAGCATCTCAACTCCCAGGTCTCCCTCTATGACAATCCCCTTCCTCCTCCTGTGTTTGGAGATGGGCTGGAAGGTAGCCAGGATTGACCATAGTGTACATCCATCCCTTTATGGAAATACTTGTTCCTGTCAGGGACTCCATGGGAGCTCAAGGTGTGCAGCCCCTCACTGTATCAGCACTTGTCATTGCCACTGATAATGGATAACAGGACAGGGAAGAAATAATACTGCAACTTCCTTCCAACCTTCAGGACTGTGTGTGTTGGGACAGCAAGGAATCCACAGGGCACTTGGATCCTGCCTTCTTTGAAGCAGCAGTAAAAAGAGATGGTTGGTAAAACTTCAGAACAACCATATATGTATGTGGTTAACGGGCTAAATATAAGGAATACACATCTCTTCCTTTGAAATAAGCTGTTTTGCCAAAAGGGGATCACTTAGCAAAAGCAGAATCCTTTTTGAGTGCACTCCGCTTTGAGAGGAAAACATCCAGAGGAAAAACAAAAATACCAAGAGCGCTGCAGTTGTGCCATCTCAAAATTTACAACATGAGGCATTTGGCTTTGTCACCTTCAAGTTTTCACACAGATCGTTATGCAAGACTGTGAACAGCAGGAATGGAGACAACAGACTTGGGCTCACTTTTCAGGAGAGAAGGTGGATGAGGAATTTTTCTTCTGGGGTGATTCTTACCTCATAAGTCAGATTTCAAAATTCCTTCTTGTCAGGGGTTCCATTTGGAATATTGCTCCTATCACCACCCATCACATCTCCTGGTGTGCCAATCCTCCCAGAGCCCACAGGCCACAGCTCTGGGAACTGAGGCGAGGAGCAAGGAGGTGGTTTTTATAACTCACCAAAGAGCATCACTGGCAGCACCAGTGATGAGCTGTATATTGTGACTCTGTGATCCACAGCCCGGCCAAAAAAAATCCCCTTTTCTACTCGGTTTTGAGCCAGCCTGGGTAATGACAAGGAGTCTTTTGTTGCCATGTGAGGAGCTGTTTGTTGGTCCAAGCTCTCTCTCTCATTAAGGAGGCAGTGAGGGGGGAGCAGAGGCCGATCCCAGCGGGAACATGTGTCCTAGGTTGGCCCATCTGCAGAATAATTCTCCGGGCCAAGAGCTGAGTCTGGGATAAGCTACATGGCGAAGTTCCCTCGCCACGGCAGCCAGAGCAAGTGTGGTGACAGTTATGGGCAGGGAAACCGAAATGTCCTGGGGAGGAAGGGCACAGACAGTGACAGCTGTGGCAGTGGTCTCAGTAAGGGAAGGAGCTGGTGGAATACATAATGCAGCAAGGTGGTACTCTCAGAAATCTAGGACTTGCCAGAGAAACAAATGAAATCCACCAGCCTCATGATTTGGTTTGATTGCTTCCAAACACATGTTTAATCTGAGTTCTTTTCACAGTCATCACAACTGGGCTTGCATGAATCGTGGGGCCTAATCCTTGTCTGGTGCAAGCTGGAGTGGATCCATTTAATTCAAGGAAGCCTCGCCAGTTTACATCAGACTGTGGTTATACTTAAGTGTAGGTCATTTAGAAATATGTAAATACTTATTTCCAGCTATACTTTTTGAATGAAGCAAATAAATATGAAACCTACCAGGATACAGAGTATCCCAGAGTTTTCTCTTTTTTTGAAGCCATGGGACAAACATCCCCGGTGCTGAATCACTTACATTGCAATGCAGGAAACCCAAGGACGTCAAAAACAGTCAAGATCTCAGTGGAATACTGCCCAGTCCATCCTTTTCCATGAAGGGATATCCAGAAGGGTGCTAGGCTTCTTCCAGGTTCCCCTACTGACTGAGGGGGTGCAGCTCCCTTGAAAGAAACGGGACCCTTTCAGATTTTCCCAGATGAGGATTTTGCTGTGGGATGCAGACAAGCCCTGGTCTGACAGTCTCATGGAAGAACTTGGATGAGAGATGTATCTGGAAGCAACAAAGCTCTGACCAAACCCTGGGTCCTTCCTCACCTTTCAGAAGTGGTCAGCCTCAGCTTCCAGAACCCCAAATAGCCCCTCTCCAGATTGAATTTTGCAAGGAGGAAGGCCAGCCACGATTTACCTCAGTGCAGGGGCGAGTTGGGTCTATAATAGTCCCCCCATGCAAGAGAGAGCACAGACTTTGGGATTACTTCTGATTCTTCATCTCTAGTGACAATTCTGCTTCCCACATCCTAATTTCTAGCCATGGTGAGTTGTTTTGACCTCAGTCCTGCAGATCTGTGTCCACAGGAACATTCTCAACTCAAGGAAGGAGTCACAAGGTAATGAATGAATGCATTTCCCCAGGAAGGAGAGACCATTTGTAAGTTTAAGAACAAAAAAGTGATTACCTGGATTGAATGTAGTTCAGTAGGTCAGCAGCAGCAGCAGCTCCCTGAAAGACAAAGACAAAACCCCATTAGCAGTGGTTTCTAGGGAAATAAAGTTTCAAACCCAGGGATGACCCAGGCACCAGCAGCTCTTTCACTGCCTTTTGGCAGCAGCCTCTAAAACCCTCAGTGCAAAGGTCTTCAGACAAGACCAAAACCTCTGGGTAATACCTGAGTATCAAGAGAATGTGCAGTATCACCTAACGAAGTCCTGAGTAAGAGAAATTCCTATTTTTTCTCCATGCTTTGTTGTTGCTTTGTTTTTTTAACATCCTTTACGCTTGAGTAATTGTCTCCCTTAGCAAAAACGGTGCACGTCATGTATGGCAGAGGCAAAAGAGCTGTATTAAAAGCCATAATTACTGCAGTTTAACAATTAGTAGTTCTATTTGAAGATGTTTTGAGTAAGATTTATGGTATGTTTTCTAATTTTTAATTTCTAATTAGGGGAAGAAGCTTAGCCCTGAGTATTTCTTCTCTAAAAAGTTTAAAATAATATATAGTATGGTTTTGGTCTGTAGAGAGGGATACAAAACCAGGAAAAAACATGCAGGAAGAAAAGGATAAGTTTTTGTGTGTGTGTGTAAGCAAAGTTTAAATGGAATAATTAAATTTACCATAATCAATAAAATGTGTGAGTCGAGTTTATTGAAGTAGCTATTTCCCATTGCATAATTTCCCTGGGGGACTTTCATTTTTAATTCAAAAATAAAAAAATAATAATTAAAAAAACAAACCCCTGAGCACTTACTGTAAATATGCCAGCATATGTGTGAGGTTAAGAAAAGCACGAGCCTACACCCAGGAATCAAAGAGGGGCTTACCACTGCTTTGACACTAATTGTAAAAGCTGAACATTTTCTAGAACCATAATCAAATCTTAACTGCCATGGGGGACTCATTGAGCAGCTCACAGTAATTCTAATAAGATACAGAGCCTTTCACCTTTAGGTCACCAGTTCAAACCCACTTTGGGTTGGGTAGTAAACAGAAGGTAAATCCTGAGCCCGGTGAGTGCCACAGCACCCACAGGAGATGCCAGAGCAGCAGGGGGAAAGGGTTTTCCCTCCCTTCCTGTGTCATCCATGCATCCCCTGGGATTGATGTGGCCAACTCCTCAGGGGACTCGCCTCATCTCCTTCAGCCTCAGATCGTCCCTTCTGGAAAGAAGATGGGAATCTGCCCTTCCCCCATTTCAGCTGGAGCCTCCCCAGATGCCCCATCACACCCCCACCCAGAGACCCCGATCTCGCCACGGCGTTTTTCAGCACTGCCATAACGCCCCTCCCAAGAGAACATAAATGGTGACGTCATCTCTGTCCCACTTCCACGTACACAATTCCTCTTAATCAATGGGTTCATTTACTTGAGCACCACATGGAGAACAGAGGGGCCAAACAAGCAGTTGAGAACACCAGGTCCTTGCCCTGGGCAGCACAACAAACAGCTCTGCCAACACCGGCAGCGTTGGGAACCCAAGCCGAGTACTCGTCTCGGCACTTCACCTGGATTCAGGTGGAACTTCCTGCATTGCTCTGAGCTGCTGGTACAGGAAATCACAGCTCCAGCTGCAGCCCCCGGCACCACCAACAGCCACAAAGTGCCTGAAGTTCTGTGGCAAGCACCCCATGTGCTTCCTGCTACACCAAGGCCTGGATGGGTCCGGCTCTACCGCATCTTCCTTGATGATGCCATGAACATTGGTGTTTCCAAGTGGGTAAATACCAAATGACAGCTACACGACCCAACCCGCCTGAGGATAGAGTGGCCACCACCATGACAGTCTCCTCCTGTGTCCCTCAAACACACGTGCGTGGGGATGATCGGAGGCTGTTTTGCAGTGCACAGCCCCATCCCTCCGGCTGTGACGGTGTGCACAGTTCTGTGCACGTGTGTGAGTGGGTATAATAGTCCGATGCCTTAATTGTGTCTCGTGTTACTACAGCTGAGGAGTCGAGGAGCTCTGAGGAACAATTCATTCATTGTCCTCTACACATCTGGGTTAATGTTTCCTCCTTGGATTAGTCTGTACCAGTGTGTTCCCTCTCTGCTCACCACAAGCTACCAGTGCCAATTTCCCTCCGTGGCAGCTCCAGTGACAGCTGTTTACTTGGAAGTTCATGAATTTGATATATGGGTGCTAGCCACAAATTAATGCAATACTTTCCAGATGCAATGTCTTTAAATATTCAAACAATAAGCCAAAAGCACTGAGTTGTTCTGGCCATTTTTTCCCTCTTAGCTCTGGATGTCTCTCAGAGAAGATGTAAACACAATTTCTTGTGCCACTGACCAGAATACTTCGATGTTTGAAAGGTGAGCAGCAGCATGAGGTGCTGGGTGGTAAATGGTGCCATTGTCACCTGAAGCCAAATCCAAAATGGTCAAAAACCAGCAGAATAAAGCAAAAGGAAGTGTCAAGGCTGACCCATAGGAAGTTTCCTTTCCAGCCAGGGGCTGCATGTGCTGGCCTGAACTCAGGTGAGCTGCACAAGCTCCAAAGGGTGGCTCCCCAAAACAGCTCCAGAGGCTCATCTGGAGTATTCCAAAGCAACAATAACAGCCTGCTGACTACCCCTTAAACCTCTTCTTGCTAGCTTTCCTCTAGAAATCCTCCTCAAGCAGAGGAGTTGATATTTAGCTCAGAAATGGGGACAAGACCTGCCCCAGGTGTGCCTTCCTCCCCAGTCCAACCCTCAGCAATGGCACTGCTTCTGTGACCTCAGTTTGCACTGACATTCACCCTAACGCTGAGGACTGGCACAAAAACAGCACTCGGGAGGGGAAGATCAGCACACAGAAATGGACAAAACTGCTTTGGGGCTGGTGTACTTTGGACTGTTATCACTCCTGCTGGAAGTTGACAACAGGTCAGGCTGAAAGCTGTGGTGAAGTGGAATGGCTACACCAATGATCTACACCACGGCAGAGCCTGGGCCAAGATGTGTAGTTGATTTCTTGGCCAACTTACATCACTTTTTCTTCCCTCATTGCATTTTCTTTGGCATTTTCTTCTTTGCATTTACTGATTTTCCTCCACTGAAATTTAACATGATCTGGACAATTGAGCCACCAGGATATGGGTTTTCTATCCAGTAGTTAAAGGGAGGAACCTTCTTACATACTTGTATCTACTTAAAAATGCCAACAAACATGAGCTGTGGCCTTAGATTGGAGGAGGGCAGGAGAGAGCTCCAAGAAATCCTGTCTGGATTTGAATCCAGTTCAAGCCTGAAACGCTGCCTGTTTGAAGGTGGTTCCTTTATTCCCTCCAATGTTGGGATTAATTATAGAATGAAGAGTTATTAATCAACTTCACTGAATTGAAAAGTTCAAGTTCATTATCTTACGGGAGGAAAATGAACACCATTTTACAAGGTTTTTAAAGCAACAACGGTAATAAGAAACCACCCCAAACTCTAGTCCACAGGCAGAATGGACATCTTCTAGAAAAATATGATTATTCCCCCACCCACCACCCTCAAATTTAGGGATTTGTGGAATATGGGCCTTGCCTGAAGTTGCTTGGCAGAAATCCTCACGTTAAGTTCTCATTCAATGAAATCATGTGGTAGTAAATCAAACATAGAAACAGGAATAAGTAAATCCACCACATCCTTTGAAAAAATTATGGTTGGACTCTGTCAACCCAAGTTGCCTGGGCGATGAATTATCTGTTTTTGTCAACTAAAAAGTGATCAGTCCACCTTTCTGCGTGATTTCCTAATCTTCAGTCCCAAAGCTGAGCCAAGAGGCAGCACAAAATGGGCAGGTCACCTGCAGAAAGAGCTCCTGCAACCTGCACTGAATGTTACATGAGAGGTAGCAAATGAGTGTCAAACAATGAGAGGAAAACCAAGTAGGAGAGTGGGAAGGATCGATCACCAGGATCGTGAAAACTGGGATCTAGTACCTACTAAAGCCAGCAGAAGCCCTTACACAGGTCCACTCTCCATGGTTTTCTCCACGCCCTTTGTGCTCCCACGTGCTTCAGAGCCAGGCAGAGGTGCTGGGTGGACTTTGTCTGCTGAGAAATTCATTATTGGTCCTACAGAACCCAGGCCTGCTGAAGCAACAGTATTTGCAGGCAACGACTGATCTCCTCTAAATTACGTTTCTGTTTTCTCTCCTGTCTTCCCTCGTCTTCCCCAGAAAATACGTATTTGAATTTTGGTGCCCAAAATCTCTATGGGAAAAGTAAGTTCAACAAAAATTTCGAATTTTTCTGCAGGAAACTTAGATATCATCTGGCAAGTCACAACGAAAAATGAACATTCCTTGTCAACATTTGCCTTACGAGTACAAAAACGTGGATTTTACTCTGTGATATGTCCAAGAAAGCAAAAAGAGGAGAGTGACCTCACTGAAAGCAGTTGAGAAATGCACTCTGTCAGATCCTGGGTGCCCGTTTTGATCCCAATCCACTCAGATCACTGTCCAACACATGGCTGCTGCTTGAAATTAATTTAATCCATTTTTGGATCCATTATTGCTTCAGCCTCGCGATTCATCACTGTGAAATCAATGAGAAAGGAACTTCTCGGAAATCTCGGGATTTCTCGGAATCCCCATCCGAGCACCGTTTAAGAAGATCTGCCTCTGTAATTAACCATTTCTGAGGGAGTTAAAAATAAACAGCTCAAACCTGGCATTTTTACAACCTTAATAAAACCAAAGGTGGCATTTACTGGGTAGAGGCTTTTAGGACAAGGGAGAGGTCGCTACAGCAAAAGGGCAGTCGCTGCAATTTTGAGCAAACCTGATGGCAACTGCAGAGCAGAAAGGTGCAGGTTATTGCCATAACAAAACCCAACACATCCATGGTGTGCTGCCTTCAGCTAAAGGCACTGCTGGAGGGATCCTTCCCAGCTATCCAGAGCATTCCCTGCTGGGAGGAGCCAGCAGTGCGTGCTCCTCCCGGTGCATTTGCTTCCTTTGTGGCCCAATTTCCAGAGGTAAAGGATAACCTGAACTACAGGCAGGCTTTATTTAAACTTTGGTCTTT